TTATGCGGGTGCAGCAGTTCTGTTGATTCGCGGTGTCGAAGTCCCAAGAATGGCGTTCTGGTGCGGTTCCGGATCGTCAAGACGCAGCAGTCATGTGGAGGCGTGGCCTTGAAATCCAGAGAACAATGTTTCGGCATGCTTCCGGATCTTCAACCGGTTGTCTTCCGACGGGGCACTTCCCCCAATAGAATTCAACCGTTGCAGCAGCCTGTGAAGAGGGAGTTTGGAAGGAGGGTCAATTCCAAGATCGTTGGTGACTCTTGGGTTTACACTGGTCCCCGCTCCTCCTCCTCATCCTCCTCCTCGTCCTCCTCATCACCAGCATCATCAACATCATCCCTTCATCCTCCTCCTCCCCCTGCATCTGCTCTTCCTCTCTTCCGCCTCCTCCTCCTCCTCCCTCTTTGTCATCCTCCCTTTTCATGTACCACAACCTTTCAGACGAGTCTCAGAGTTACTTACGTTCGCACTGCACCATCCTGGCAGTTTGTGCTGCGAGGAGACGAAGAGGGAGAAAAGAAGCGAGAAGCTCGCTCGTCCTCTGGTGATCGTCCCTCCACGCCCTGATAACAGGGGCTCCAGTAGGAAACCGCTCCGCCTCGTCGGTGCTGAAGTGGCCGGCCCAGGGCGCTCGCGAAGCCTCCGACGGGCTGGAAGTGTCACTAGTAATGTCGAGTCCTGCGCCCAAGAGGAGGATGCGGGAGAACATGGAGGAAAAGGATGATGATGAGGATGTTGCTTGGTCGTGCGTGTTCGCCGATGGCGAATTCCCACTAGCTACAAGCGCACAGTGCGACCAGAGGACCGAGCGAGGGCACGAACAGACGAATGAGGCGACATACGTACATATATACATATATACATATATAAATATATACATACATACATACATACATACATACATACATACATACATACATACATACAGACAGACAGACAGACAGACAGACATACATACATACATACACACATACACACACATACATACATACATACATACATACATACATACATACATACATACATACGTACATCCATACATACATACATACATACATCCATCCATCCATCCATCCATACATACATACATACATACATAGATCAACAGGATGCTGAGCGCAGCATGAGAAGGGGTGAAGTCGTCGCCGACCACGGCTGGAACCCCCGTGGCCTCCTGCCCCTCTCGACGCCTTGCGCGCTGGAGGGATCAGCAGCGACGACGGAAGACGCGCGAACAGCGGCAGCGGCGGCAGACGATACGGGCGAGCTGAGGGAGCACGCGGGGAAAACGGTGATGATGAGGAAGAGGAGGAGGAGGAGGAGGAGGAGGAGGAGGAGGAGGAGGAGGAGGAGGAGGAGGATGAGGAGGAGGAGGAGGAGGAGGAGCGAACGCCCCCAAGGAGGAGGATGAGGAGCAGAGAAAGAGGGGAGGGTGGCGAGGAGAGGGAGGCGGAGGAGGAGGAGGAGAAGGAGGAGGAGGAGGAGAAGGATGAGGAAACAAGAAGGAAGAGGCTGAGGAGGAAGAAGAAGGCGGTAGAGGAAGATGTGACGTAGGAGATGGAATCGGAACAGGCAGGCAACAAGGAGAAGGAGAAGGAGGAGGAGTGGACGAGGGAGAAAGACCGGGAGCAAGAGAGAGAGAGAGAAGCAACAAAAAGAAGAGAACGGAAGAGAGACAGAGAGAGAGAACAATAAAGAAGGAGAGAGAGAGAGAGAACGAGAGAGAGAGAGAGAGAGAGAAAGAAAGAAAGAGAGATAGAGAGACAGAGAAAAAGAGTGAGTGAGAGAGCGAGAGGGAGAGAGCGAGTAAAGAAAGGGAGACAGAGAGACAACAAATAACAGCCCCTAGATTAAGGACACGACGGGCGCGGCTTTGCAACGCCTGGCAAATCCCAGCAGGCTCGGTGTCCACAACCGGATGAGAAGGAATAGAAGGAGAGAAAGGGAGAGAGAGAGAGAGAGAGAGAGAATCAAGATAATAAAGAGAGTGGAGGGAGGAGGAGGAAGACGAAATCCCACCAGCCCTCTGGGCGTGACTGGCTCAGCGAGTTTCCTCTTCCATCGTCCCTGTTCCCTTCGGAGAGGGGTTTATGACTGTTCCCAATGAATAATGAATTGACACCTCCTCCCTCAGGCGAGTGGCAGCCAACCGTCCCTGTGACAAGAACAATGTAAATGAAGGGGCCCTGGGACACAAACAAATAAATACATACAAATAAAAAGATCCCCCATATTTTCCATATTTTTGGGGTTTCTGTCTTCCCCACCACTTCCCATATTTTTCAATATTTTATGCGGGATCGACGATTCATTGTGCCTGTGTGTTTTTTCCCTCTTGAGTAAAGTCCACTTTGGGGCGAAATCTTGGGTCATGATTGGGGGGCCGCGAACCTTTGCATTGTTTGTTGACAGGGACGGCGGGAGTGCCCGCATTTTGCCTGCTGCGCGCAGGGCCAGCACCCCTTTTTACAAAAAAAGGCACTTCGAAAGAAAGTCTGGATCATGCGCGGGCCCCCCCGATTCAGTTCTTGACTGGGACGGCGGGGGTGCTGGCATATTACCTGCTATGTGCAGGCCCACCAGACGCTGTGATGGCCCCCCTGCCTCGATTGCGCACCAATTTTCGACAAACGTGGTAGGGGCCGGCACGTTTTCCGATGTGTACTGCCACATGCGCAGGCGCACCTGGCACACTCTGCGCGTGCCCCAAAACGTGGCGCACCTGGCGCGGCTGGAGCATGCGGCACACATGGCGCACGCGGATCACGAGGCGCATCTGGCGCACCAGGCGTGCCCGGCACGCTTCAGCCACATGGGTGCCTGGCGCACCCGGCGCGCGTGGCGCGCACGGAACGCCTGGCGCACCTCGCCTCAACGTTGCGCACATGGGGTCTGTTTTGGTTCCAACTAGCTGCCCATCCAAAGACTAATGCTGAACACGCTGCGGATCGGGTGCTGCTTACGTATGTATTTGGAGGGCGGGTGGGAGTCATCGAGACGGCTTGCGAGCGGGGAGAGTCTCTTGACCCCTCCCCTTACCAACCACCACCTGTGTCTGCAGGGGAAGGCGAGGGGGGTCGCGGGTCTTTAGAGCGTCCAAGACGGCCTTGGCGAGAAGACAGCCAGCATTGACTCTGCATGGGTTTGGGCCAATGTTGGCCTCCTCGGGGCGGGGGTAGTTTATGACCCCCCCCCTCTTTGATCGATCTTTTCCATGATGGCCCCAAGAGGGCCCCCGAGGCTCCCCAGAGTGCCCCAGGAGGCGCCCAGGCGGCCCCAAGAGGCCCCCACAAGGCCCCCAAGAGGCTCCCACGAGACCCCAAGAGGCACCAAGAGGCTCGCCCGAGGCACCCAAGACGCTCTCAGAGGCCCCCAGGATCATCAAGAGGCCCCCTAAGACGCCCCTCGAAGACCCCAAGAAGCTTTCAAGAGACATCCGAAGAGACTCCGAGAAACATCCACAAAGCCTATGGCCTGTCTGCTCGCCCCATTCCTCCTCCTCTTTCTCACCCGCCTATTTCTCATCCTTCCCTCCCCCCTCCTCCTCATCCCCCTTCCCCTCCTCCTCCTCCTCCTCCTCCTCCTCCTCCTCCTCCTCCTCCTCCGGTTCCTCCTCCATCCTCTCCCTCTTGGGGTATGATGTCTCACCCAACCCTTTGTTCCACTGCGTGCTCCTCCGCATCCCTGGTCAGGGCAACTCGTTTGGGCATCGTTTCTGGATGGGCTGGTGGGGGTACTTTTTTCCTCGCGGGCGCAAACGAAATCGCAGGCGCCGTGGTGAAAGGTCCGGGCCGCGGGCCGATCTAATTACAGAAAAGGCTGGTGGGGGTACTTTTTCGGTCGCGGCCGCGCGACAACGGTCTGGCGGCGAGAGGCAAAGTCCGGGGCAGGCGGCACGATGCGAATTTGCGAACACTGCCGCCACGTTGGCAAGCCGGTTCGCACCTGCACAACAAGTGCGCAGTTGCACATGCACAGAACAAAATTAACTAACTTCACAAGGCTGGTGGGGGTACGCGAAGCGTCTGGAATATGTTTTTCCTGACTCTGCTGTGGCCCGATAGGGCCCTACAACCTGCAGAAAGCGTGCTGAAGTCATGGCTGGGCGGCGGAGAAGACGGAGAAGAAGAGGGGGAGGAGGGAGGCGAGGAAGCGCAGGAGAGGGAGGACGAGGAGAGAAGAGCAGGAGGAGGAGGAGGAGGACAATGAGGACGGCAAGCTGATGATGATGATGACGATGATGGGGATGATGCTGCTGATGATGATGATGATGAGGATGAGGAGGATGAGGATGAGGATGAGGATGAGGATGAGGATGATGATGATGATGATGATGATGATGATGATGACGATGACGATGATGCTGATCGCGATTCTTCTAAACTATGCCCTGGTCGTTTGTTTTACCGTGTCTTACTCGGCGTAGTGGAAATCATGCGCTGTAGCGTGTCAGGTCCGAAAAAGAAGCTTATAAACGCTACAAGACGATGTGTTGCGCTATGCGCTCCATTTCTTTTGCATTTCCAAATCCATTGAATGCGCTTTTTAACATTGCCGTCTACTATGTCCTCCATGCATTGTCATTACGTCCAGTCTTTCCGATAGTTATAATATAACCTATTTGCGCTTTTCTGGTCGTCTCTGCTGGCTGGTTGCGGGGCCTCTGGGCCTGTTCCGCGCTGGTGTTAGACCAGTGTTGGGGCATGTTTTGGGTGTGTTGAGTTCTGCGCTCTGCGCGCGCAGCGGGAGGAACGGGAGGCGGCAGAATCGGGAAATCGGGAGCGAAGACGGCAGAGAAGACAAGGAACAGCCTCTGACAAGAAAAAACAAACAAGCTAACAAAACTGAAGATCCACAGCGATGGGCCTGAAACGTACAAGAACACAGTGGCAAACGCTGGGGGGGCTTTTTCTTTTAAACTGCTTAAGCATGCCAAGAGTCCAAGGTACATAGCGCTAATCAAACTATTGCTTGCGCTATGAGATCGATGTTGTGCATTCTCAGATCAATTGGCTGCGCTGTATGACGCTGCCGTCTTCCATGTCCTCAACGCCTGCTCCTTGCGTCCATGTATCCTTATACTCAAATTACTCTTTCGCGCAGGGTGTCTAGAGCTCCAACCACTTGATTTCGGCACGGCACCCCCACCATCACCCACCAATTCCACCAGCCAGCGCGCCCCCAGCGCGCCCCCATTCCCCCCCGCCTCACCCCCCCCGCCCACCGACCAGCGCGCCCCGTCCGCCCCGACCTTATTTCGGCACGGCCCCCCCCCACCCCGCGCGCCACCTTCGTGCGCCCCGCCCGCCAGCCAGCGCGCCCCCTCCACCCCGACCCTTGTATTTCGGCACGGCACCCCCCCACCCACCCAGACCACGGCACGGCGCGCCCCCTCCGCCCCGACCCTTGGATTTCGGCACGGCACCCCCCCCATCCCACGCGTCCCCTCGGCATCCCCCCAACCGGCCGGCGCCCCCTCCGGGCCCCCCTGTCCAGCCAGCGCGCCCCCTCCGCCCCGGCCTTTTACTTCGGCACGGCGCGCGCCCCCTCCACACCACCCCGCCTGCCAGCCACCGCGCCCCTCCGCCCCGACCCTCTTATTGCGGCGCGCGCCCCCCCCCCGCCCCTCGCGCTCCCCCCCCCCCGCGTCCCCCCCACCCGCCAGCCAGCGCGCCCTCTCCGCCCAGACCCCTTTTCTTCGGACGGCACCCCCCATCCCGCGCGCCCCTCCCCACGCCCCCCCCCGCCCGCCAGCCGGCAGCCAGCGCGCCCTCCCCGCCCCGACCCTTTAATTTCGGCGCGGCCCCTGTCCATCCCGCGCGCCCCCTCCGCACTGCCCTCGCCCGCCAGCCAGCGCGCCCCCTCCGCCCAGACCCTTTTATTTCGGCGCACGCCCCCAACCAGCGCCGCCCCTCCGCCCGACCGTCATTTCGGCGCGGCACCCCCCACACCCCGCACACCCCCTCCGCGCCCCCCCCCGCCCACCATCCAGCGTGGGGCCCTTTCCACTCTGACCCTCATATTTCTGCGAGGCACCCCGCCCGCCACCCGCCAGCCAACGCCCCCCCCGCCGCCCCGACACTTTCATTTCGGCGTGGCACCGCCCCCCCCCATCCCGAGTGCCCCCCCCCATCGCCCCATCCACCAGCCAGCGCGCCCCCTTCCGCCCCCTTCCCCTTCCTTTCTGTGCGAGAGCCATGGCACGCGTGCCACTTGTTGCCTATTTCCGCTATCCTGGTCGTCGTTGCCAGGTCGCGGGGCCTCCGGGCCTGTTCCGCGCTGGTGTTAGGCCAGGGTTCGGAAGTGTTCGTTTTTGGTTCTACGCTCTGTGCGTGGAGCGGGAGGAACGGGAGGCGGCAAGAACGTGAGACCAGGAGCGAAGACGGCAGCGAACACAGGGAGCAGCCTTTGACAAGACAGCAAACACACACTAACGTAAATGAGTTACCAAAACGACGGGCCTGAAAACGCAAAAATACAAGAGCGACGCCGAAACTTGCCCTTAAAGATGGCGGCGCTGATGGGGAGAAACAAGACGAGGAGGAGAAGGAAAAATATGAGGAGGAGGAGAACAAGTGTGAACCCACGACGCATCAACGATACTCCAATACACGCCCCCTTCCAACTTGCATCTCCACAGGTCCTTGCAAAACAAATGGAGTAAACAATTGAGGGAAGTACCCGATCGTCTGATGATCCCCGATCGTGCCAGAAACACCATTCCTGGGATTTCAACGCAATATTCGACTCGTGCCAGAACGCCATTCTTGGGACTGCGGCACTGCGAATCAACTTGACTGCTGCGTCCTGGCAATCCTCAGGCGTGTGCGCGCGGCGCTAGAGCGAGAACAGCTTTTGAACACCTCCCGCCCCCCATTCTTGAAGCCGCGGCAAGCGTTGAGGAGGAATGCGCGCGGCGCTGGAGCAACAGCCGCAATTTGAGAACCGCCCGCCCTCAGCTCCTGAAGCTGCTACAAACTTTCGACGCGGCGCGAAGGCGAGAACCACGTTTTGAAACCCGCCCTCCGCCCTCAGAACTGCTGCAACACATGCGCCCGACGCTCAGGCGAGGGCCACATTCTGAAAACCAGCCGGCCTCTGACCTGGAAGCTCCTGCACACTCTGAGGAGGAATATGCGCGGAGCTACAATCGGGGCGTTGACCTAAGGAACCCCAAATAAGGAACGAGGCCCCTTTTTTTTCCATATGTTAAACTTTGACTTCCCATCGAAATGTAAAAACAACCAAGGGCAAACTGTGAAACAATGAAGGAACACGGAGCCCCTCCCCAACGAGAAGGGTTCCTTCTTCAGTGCCCCGACTGTATGGCGAGCGAGAGCCGCACCTTGAAGACTGCCTGCCCTGAGCCGTTGGCAGCGCTGCAGGCTTCAAGCAGCAGGCCCCCGCAGCCGGGGCCAAGACCTCGCACGCAGTGCCCCCGCCCGCCCCACCGGCACGTCTGGGGTGCGGCAGGGGGCACAAATGCGTGAGGAAAGGGATGGAGGACGAAGAAGAGGAGGAGGAGGAGGAGGAGGAGGAGGGGGAGGAGGAGGAGGAGGAGGAGGAAGAGGAGGAGGAGGAGGAGGAGGATGAAGAGAAGGAGGAGGAGGAGGATGAAGAGGAGGAGGAGGAGGATGAAGAGGAGGAGGAGGGAGCAATAACGATAACAAGGACAGGACGGGGAAGAACAAGGAGCCCTTCGGGCGGCGGCGGCAGGGCCTCGAGCCAGAGCCTGCGAATCACGGGTGCGGGCGAGGGGGAGGAAGGCGCACCGCACCGACGAACGAGGCCATCGCAGTACACGTGCACCAAAGCAACCAAGCGAGTTCACCCTGGTACGAGAGATCAGCCCCCGCGCGCTTTCTCCTGCCACGGACCCGCCGCCCAAGCTCCCCAGCTTGGGCGCGGGAGGAGAAGCCAAATATCGCAAGGCCTCGGAAGAGGTCGACGCCGATCCGCTCGACAGCACGGGCATGTACAAGCTCTGGCACAGCTTCCAAGCCTAATTTCGAGGCAAGGGAAACTGTGCACGAAGCGACAGAGAGCGAATGCGCTGCTCCGACGCGGCCGTCCTTGCGGGACGGTTGCCTGCCGAGCAAGCAAGATCCAAGCCAATTGCCTCTCGCGGCCAGGGGGGCGGGACCCCAGACAAACTCCGACGCCAGAGAGCTCTTGTCCCAAGGACCCAAAGGTGGCGCAAAAGAAAGAAAGGTGCCCATGGAAGCGCCTGCAGGGGAGGCCACTAAGGCCTCGATGCATGCGTGGCCTCGGGCCTGCCAAGGCCTGAGGGCTCACGCCCCTCCCCTGGGAGGCCCTGGAGGCGGAATGGGGCGCGGCCCTCACCTCAACGGCTGCTTGCGCGTGCTCCCCGTCCGCGACAGACGACCCCGACTCCACGACACCCTCGACACCAGCCCCCCCATCACCAACCCCATCGTCGACGTCAGGCGGTATTTCGTACGAGCCGAGGCTGACGTGGCGAAGCCAATCCCAACGGATGTGGTCAAATACCCGCATCCGCGATCATGGCCTCCTGGAGAACCGAGAACCGGGCAACCTGCCTCGCAATCTCCTGGCAGCCGATGATGACGAGACGGTCACAGGTGTCGGTTCGATACAGTGGAGGCCCGTCCACAAGAAACCTTCCACAAGACACTCCACCCTGAGACCCCAGAACGTCCATCGATTTTTTATACGGGAACGTCGCACTTCCCATGGCAAAATCATCGAAACAGAAGAAACCCAGGGCACCCTGGAGGCAAGCAGGGTGTTTCTTGGCATGGCCCCCCACCGTATAGCTCAGCAATCTGGCGAGCGTGCAAGTCTGCGGCCTTGTTGCCGAGCCACTGGCCACGAGTCAGGCGGCCTTCAACCATAATCCTTCTCTATAGATTGGGACGAGGTCTTATCCACTCTGCAATCGCCGAGCTTACCGAAAACCTGGGCTCAACACTGGACCCGTGCATATTCAGGACCCGCGGCCGACCTGGGATTCCGAGCTCAATCGACCGTGGCAGAGCAATCCATATGAAGGCTGGACCCAGGGAAGAGCACAGCGTTGAGCGACAGCTGGAGTACCGGTGCCTCAGCGAAAGGCACCATCCCCAAGAGATGCGAGCGGACTATCCCCCCGTCCGTGATGACAGCCGCCCACCCCCGCCACCGCCAGAGATGGGAGCCAACCCTCAAAAGGCCGATCCATGTGTGCACACGCGCGTCCCATCGCCAATCGCGCTGCCTGCGACGACGACGGCGGCGGCGACGACGACCCGACAGCGACGACGACGACGACGACCTCCAAAAGCCCAGCAAGGACCAACACAAACCAGAAACTCGATCTTAGATCCTCGAGGATCGACAGGGGGAGAATGTGCAATCACAGGTCGACGCTGCCCCTGCAGGTCGGATTCCTTAGACACAGACGGTGATGCAGAATCCCACCAGCCCTTCTTCCCCTTCGGGAGGGGTCTACCCCGCCCCTACCCCACTCCCGGGTCTGAACGGGGCGTTCAGCGAGACGTTGGAGCGTCCAAGTTGGCCTCTGCGAGAAGGCACAAATCAGAGACGTGACGGAGGCGTTGGCCACGTGTTGGCCTTCTGGGAGGGGGGGGGGGGGGCGGGGCAAAATTGAACCCCCACCCTTCTTTGTTCGATCACCTCCAAGATGGCCCACGAGGCTCCACAGGGTGCCCCGAGACGGCCCGAAGATGCGCCCTGGAGGCCCCAAGAGGCCCCCAAGAGGCGCCCGAGATGCCCGCCCCAAGAGGCTCACAAGAAACCACCAAGAGGCCCCAAGATGCCTCCCAGAAGCACCCAAGGCGCTCCACGAGGCCGCGGCGAGAACGCCAACATCAGCGACGTGACGATGGTTGTGGCCAACCGTTGGCCTCCTGGGTGGTGGGCCCTGATTGCGGAGCCCCCCTTCTTAGATCGATGCCCTTCAAGATGGCCCCAAGATGTCCCCCGAGGTCCCCCAGGGGTGCCTCAAGACGGCCCCAATGGGGTGCCCAGAAGGCCCCAAGATGCCCCCAAGATGCCCCCAAGACGCTCCCAAGACGCTCCCAAGAGACCCCCTAGAGCCACCCCCCCGCCCAGAGACACCCAAGACGCCTCAAGAGGCCTCGGCGAGAAGGCCACAACCATTGAATTGATTACGAAGGTGTTGGCCACATGTTGGCCTCCTGGAGTGGGGGGGGGGCGAGGCTCCCAAGGCTGCCCCAAGACTGCCCCAAGACTGCCCCAGGAGGTGCCCAGGAGGCCCCAAAAGGCACCCAAGAGGCACCCTGGATGGCCGCAAGAGGCTCCCAAGAGACCCCAAGGGACCCCAAGAGGTCCCCAAGGGGTTCCCACGCTCCAAGGGGCTCACACTACTGTCAAGAGACCCCCAAGACACGCCAAGAGGACTCCAAGAAGCTCCCGGAAGAAATCCGAAGAGACCCCGAGAGGCATCCAATAGGCTCCTGGCCTTTTCTGATCGCTCTCCTCCTCCTCCTCCTCCTCCTCCTCCTCCTCCTCCTCTTCTTCAACTTCCTCACCCTCCTGGTCCGTCTCAGTCCTCCTCCCTCCTCCCCTCTCCATACTACTCCTCGTCGTCCTCCTCATCCTCCTCCATCTCCTCCTCCTTCTCCTCCTCCTCCTCCTCCTCCTCCTCCTCCT